AGAGCCTGGCTCCCCCTTCCCACAGGCAGCAGAGCCAGAGTGGAGCCCATGGGGGGGGGAAGGGGGCAGATGCAGGCTGCCTGCTGCAGGCTTGAGGTCCCCAACCTGCTGTCCTCCCTTTGGGGCCTTCTGTAGCCCAGTGGATGGGACCCGGCGTACCAGGGCAGAGCGTGGCAGGGCAGAGAAGCCTGGTGCCGCTGCTGGGAGCTCCACTCCCCCTGGCAGCAGCAAGGGGCATGACTCTGAACTGCCACCCCCCACTGCCGGGAGGACAGGAGGCACCTCACCAGGGCAGGGCAGGGCTTGTGGCAGTGGCACCTAGCTTTCCCACCCCAATCTGTTGCTCTGGGTCCCACCTGCTGGGCCCCGGAGACCCTGGGAGGATGGCAGCAAGCCCAGCCCACAGAGGGCAGGCCACCCCACCTCGTGCACGAATCTGGGAGACACGTGCCCCCCATGCCCTCCCTGGGAGAGCCTGCAGCAGTAGTGAGCCAGCCCCTCCTACCCCCTAGACGAGCCACCCGTGACCTCATCCCATTCACTACCTAGGTAGTGCGGCTGTGCATTCCCCATGTACCACCTAAGCTGGGCTGCAGCCCCCGCCCTGCCCAACCCATTATGGGGGCCTCCATTCCCCACCAGCCCAGACTTATCTGCAGAGAGCTGCGGGAGCTGCTCTCCAGGCTGCCTGGTGGCTATGAGCATGCGTACATGAACATGGTGCCCCCTGCTGATTGCCCTCCTCCCGCTCCCCCCAGCCCCTTGCAGGCTGGAACTCTGCCAGCCTGCAAGGGGAAACCCACCGTTTCCTGTGTTTTTCTCCTTAAAAAGACAAAATCTGGGTTTTTCTCTTTACCATGTTTTTCTGTGGCAAATGGGAACCCGTATCCCTGTAATTATCACCATGTACTGTAATATTTTGCAGCTTGGATTGCAGTACTGAGAGCTATTGCATGCTTTATGGTGGAATTAGGTTAGGTTAAGAGCGTAGGTTATGGTTTAAAACAAAATTGAGCTTTGAATTTACAGCATATCAGCAAATCTACTCTAAATGCCCATGTGCATACTTATAGAAAGGCGTAAGCTACCCTCCCATTCACTGTTGGGTAAGAACATGCCAAGGGGCTATTGTCATGGAGCAGCTAATAAGCTGATCCATGACAACACATTTATGGGCCCATACCCATAGCCTAAGTAGGTTTGTCATCCGAGACATGCTATAGGCACAGTGGCACATCTTATGAGACAAACAAGTATGTGACTTGCCTTTCATTTTGCTAACGCTGGTGTGCCCAGCCTCACAAACTAATGCAATCTCCTACTTATATTTCTATATGCAATTCCCATTCAGCTAAGTTCTCTCTAGCATGATGCTGTAAAAGAGCTAAGCAACGTGAAAAAATATATTGGTAACTTCTACTGAATTATGCTTGGTGGAATGACTTATTAAATGAAGAATATTATCAACATCACACCTGTCAGAGATGAAAAACACACATAGGGGAGACTGTACAATCCATCCATTGCTTTATGGATCTACAGCTCTACAAAAGGCATCACAAATCCACATAATGTCCTTGAGTGCCAGGTTTTACATTTAGACATGATTTAAGGTGAAAGACATGTAAAATTACATGTAAACAGAGAGCTCTCTACCAACTACATATCTCAGCAGGAGAGTTATCCCAGCAAGTATATGTGCTTATGGGCTACATTCTGCTCCCATTTATACTCAAGCAGGTCCACTGGTCTCATTTATACCTGTGAAACTAGGGAAAGGTAAATGCAGGATCTGGCTAAATATCCTGCCAGATCTGCGACTTACCCTTGTGAATCAGAGCAAAGTTAGTGGACGTGGTCAAAAGAAGCCTTCTCCTATTGTCCCAGGATAAGACCAAACCAGCAGACTGAGTGATCTCCTGAGTACAAGTATTTTTCTTTTCCAAGTACATTCAGAGCACACTCAACTCTGAGGGGGGTGGAGGGGAGGGATAAGGGCACAGACTTCCCCAGCAGAGCTCTCATTATAGCTGAACAACCATAGAAGGAAGGAAGTGATATACTCTCCTGAATCATGGCACAGAAGGCATAATTCTCCAGATTTGGGGAAGCCTCTCTCTGGGGACTGGTGCCTCTTGCTTATGCGCAATAGATGGTTTCTGGTCCATGTCTGATAGCCGTAATCATTTCAGTCATCCAATAACCAATCAACCATGCCTGCTCCATTACAGGGAGCTTACACTCCTTGATAAGCACAACACCAGTAGGCAAGCAAGGGTTTCCTGGATCAAGGGTCAGTCTTTCTATTAGAGTCTTTCTCTAGCTCTCCTTACCATACATGGTATTCGACATAGGGTATGCACATAGGGTAAGATCGCAGTTCAGAATTA